TTCCAGTTCAACATTCAGAGATATAAATATTCACCTTTTTCTTTATAGAGAGATAAATACATATGTGATAGGAAAATTCTAGAAAAATCAGAAATGCTAAAAATAAACTCTCAAGTATAAAAATGGTGTGGAATATGTTTCACAGAATAACACTACATAAACCCCTGATTTAATTCCATGATTTTCATCATGCCAGAAGCATGATTGGTTTTAATTTTTTAAAAGATATTGGTATTCTATTATATTGGCTTATTAATAATTAAGGGATTTTTTGTACACAGTATCAGTGTGGAAATTTTTTTTTAAATATTATTACTTACTATGGTGTTTCAAACTTTCAAAGTCTTTTCAACATCAGAAAATAGCTGCATCTATTACTGTTACTTATAAAACACAAAAGATAATGACTAGTCTTTGTAGTTCTAGTAATGAGTCTTCTCTTATTTCCTTATATAGTATAAACCATCTTCCTTTGCAGGATTCAGTAAGACCAGTAGTTCTTAAACAAGGTTACCAAATAACCAAGCATCCCAAAGCAGCAGGTAAACAATCTTCACAGTGCATTTCCACCTCACTGAAGTTGGAGCTGCTCCTTTTGGATATTTCCCCACTTCAATGTGAAGTTGATTGCTATGTTTCAGTGGTTTCATGATGCAGCTTTTGAAAGAAAAATGATTTTAATTTTTAACTTACAGTTCCAGTTCTCAGAAGAGACCTATGTGGGGAAATCATATAGTCCAACGATGTTTATAATAACCAGGTGCTTCTCAGTAGATGAAATGTCTCAATGCAACTGTAATAAATAAGCACCTACATCCTTAGCTATATTACCAGTATATCCTGGAACCAAGTAAGATGGTTTTCCTGTTCCCACAATCCACTTAGTTGTTGTTTTAAAGTCTTAATATTTCCATCATTTATAACTTCTGTTTTGGCTGACAGTTATAACCACCACCTTTTTATTACTGCTTGAAGCCAGTTTAGACCAACTATTGTATACTCTTCAAATTTGCTCTTAAGTAATGACTTCACTAGAGGCAACAAGTCCACACAGCAGCCAAGAGAAACGTACTGCTTTCCTTCCTGCAAACTATTGGTGAGCACAGGGAGGTAATCTGCCGCACCTCCAAGATCTATCCTTACTAAATAAGCTATAAGTTTACTTATACTTCTCTTTCTCCAGAACATTAATGCTCTATTCGACCTTAAATTCCTGCTGAATAAAAGTTGAGCCATTTTTTCATGATCCTGAAGAACCTCAGAACAAAACTCACTAAATTTTGATGATGGGCTTTCTGTTTGTGAAGAACCAGCTTCTCTGGAGTTAACCAAGTATCAACTATGTTCAACTATCATGGTGTAACTCTTCAGGCAGATGGCTTGCATACGCCAGTTCATTTTCTTTATTTGCCATGTCACAGCCCCAACTTCTTGGGGACTGTCTTTTTCTGTAACAAAGATTTGGGAATGGATGATAAACTTTCTTTCTGTGACAGATCACCTTATGTTTATCTGGACTTTTCACAGCTTGTCCCACTGTTCTATTTATGTAAGCAGCCAACTGCTTTGGAGATTTCTTAACCTCCTTCATGTTCTTATTAGTGAAACTGGGGTTCCTTTTTTTTTTTTTAGGAAGATCAATGGGATGGTCCTCAATATTACAAAAATTTCACTTTTTAACATTGTGGATTTCAGATGCCATAATCTCTTAAACACTGGAGCCTCCTGGTGCTGTGACAGCCCACTCCAGCCCAGTGCTCGGCAGCCTGGATCAGCCCTGAGATCCTGGCCTGGCCTATTCGCAGCCATTCAAAACATTTGTTTGTTTTCTTGAGGATCAATTGCCACTCTGACTGGGGTGAGATGGAATCTCCATGTTGTTTTGATTTACATTTCCATAATGGCTAAGAATGTTGAATACTTAGCCATTTGTACTTCTCAGAATTGTCCAAATCATTTGCTCATTTATTAATGAGGTTGTTTGTTCTTTTGGTGTTTAAGTTTCTGAGATCTTCTTATGTTCTGGATGTTAATCTTTTGTGTGACGATTAGCTTGCAAAGACTTCCTCCCATTCCATAGGTAGCCTCCTGACTCTGGAAAGTGTTTCCTTTGCTGTGCAAAATCTTTATCCTTCAAGGCACTCTCACTTATCAATTCTTGCCCTAAATTTCTGGGCAGTTTGAATCCTAAACAGAAAGGTGCTCCCTAGGTTTATATCTACAAGGGTTCTCTCTATATTTTCCTGCAGCAATTTCAAAGCTTCAGGTGTTACATTGAGATTGTTGATCCATTTCTATATTGCTTTTTATACAAGGTGAGGGACAGGATGGAGTTTCACTTTTCTACATGTGGATATCCAGTTTTCCCAGCACCATTTGTTGAAAAGATTGTCTTCTCTTCAATGTATATTTTTGGCTCTTTGGTCAAAAATCAGATGGTGTAGCCATGTGGGATTATTTTTGGCTCTTCTATTCTGTTCCACTGATCTACACATCTGCTTTTGTGCCAGAACCATGCTGTTTTTTGTTACAATGATTCTGCAGTATAATTTGAAATTCAGTATCATGATACCTCCAGCATTTTTCTTTTTATCTCATGGTTTCTCTGGCTATTTGAGGTCTTCTGCGTTTCCATATGAATTAAGGATTCATTTTTATATTTCTGTGAAAAGTGATATTAGGCTTTTGATGGAAAGTTCATTGACTCTGTGGATTGCTTTTGGCATGCTAACTATTTTCACAATATAAATTCTGCCAATTCATGAACATGGGAGGTCTTTGTATCTTCTAGTGTCTTCTTTAAGTTCTTCAATATTTTTATAGTTCTAATTGTAGAGGTCTTTTACTTTCTTAATTAGAATTATTCTTAGTTATTTAATTCATTTTTGAGACTATTATGAATGGAATTGCTTTCCTGATATTTTCCTCAATCCGTTCATTGTTTATATATGAAAAACTCATTGATTTTGTTTGTTGGCTTTGTATACTGCTACTTTGCCAAAAGAGTCTGTTAGCTCTGGGAGGTTTTGGTGGAGTATCAATGGTCTTTTAAGTAGAGATTTCCTATTGTATTCCATTTTATCTTTGTCTTGCCTTATTGTTTAGGCTAGGAATTCAAGCATTATGTTTTATAAAAGTATAGTGGACAACCTTCTCTTTCTCCTGACTTTAAAGAAATGGTTTCTGTTTTTCCCCATTTAGTATGATTTTAGATATATGCTTCATTATGTTTGTTGATTTGTGCATGTTGAACCATCCTTTCATATCTGGAATGAAAGCAACTTGATCTTGGCATATGATTTTTTTTTTTGGTATTGATACTGGAGCTTGAACTTAGGGCCTGGGTATGACCCCTTAGCTTTTCTGCTCAAAGCTGGTGCCCTACCACTTGAGCTATAGCTCCACTTCAAGCTTTTTGTTACTTAATTGGAGATAAGAGTCTCATGGAGTTTTCTGGCCAGGTGGAGTCTGAACCACAATCCTCATATCTTAGTCTTCTGAGTAGCTAAGATTACAGACAAGAGCCACAAGCACCCAGCTCTTAATGTGTTTTTGAATCCAGTTTATAAATATTTTTATCAAGGATCCTTGATAAAATTTCCTCAGGGAAATTGGTCTATAATTGTGTGTGTGTGTGTGTGTGTGTTCTTGTTTGGTTTTGGTATCAGGGTCATATTGGCTTTACAGAGTGAGTTTGGTAATATTCCTTCCCCATCTATGTTATAGAATTGTTTGGGGAGCATTGCTGTGAGTTATTTTTTAAAGGCTTGGAAGAACTTGGCAGTGTACAATCAGATTTTGACCCACCTGAAGTCCCCCCATTCCATGAATACAGGGGGCCTGCAGAGTTTCATGCACTTGCATGTCCTGTGTGAGCTCTGATACCTCATAGAGACATCAGAGAATGGGCTAGGCTGCTGCCCTAGCTCAGGCCTGGGCTTCCCTTCCCTCCATCCAGATGTAGGTGGTAGTTTGGAGGGAGAGTTCAGGATGTGAAACAATGTGAAACAATGTTCTCTCATGTTCTGCTCCTGCCTGCACTGGAGGTGCCTCAGCCTGTACCTTAGTCTTTAAGGACATTGATGATAGTAGCAGGTGACATTTCTGAGCCTCCCCACAACCACACACTGAACCAAAAGTATTTCTGATGTTGCCAGTGGAGCATTGATTGTTTTCATCATTTTATAGAGGGGAAACAGGCTTCAGAGTGAAAGAGAATAGCTTTGTTGGTTGCTGGTGGCAGTTGGGCAGAGTTCAAATTTATGTCCTCTTTTTCTTGGTTCTGGATTTTTTTTTCCTCTGCTGAAGGCTGAGTTCTGCTTTGCTGTGTATGGCTATTAAGGTGTCTAGATTGCTTCCTTCATCCTCTGGAAGTTGGGTATGGCCATATAACTTGCTTTGTCCAATGAGATGTGAGCAGAGAAGTTTCATTTCCTAGAAGACTGGGTGTGGTGTTCTGTGCTCTCCTCCCTTGCCTCAGCAGAGCTCAGAGTCTTGTTGTGAGATGGTGATGTCACAAGATCGTGGCTATATTGAGGACAGAACCTCTGCTTGCCCATGTGTGGTGATAAGTGTGCTACTTGCTCTAAGCAACCCAGACAATTTGTTAATGCAGCTCAATATAGCTTATGCAGGCTGACTTACCGTCTCTTGGCTAGCTCTAATACCATTGTTTTGTTTTGTTTTGTATCAGTCTTGGGGCTTGAACTCAGGACCTAGGCCATGTCCTTTAGCAATTTTGCTCAAGGATAGTGCTCTACCACTTGAGCCATAGCTCAGAGCCTGAGTTTTTATGATCAAAGCTAGCACTCTACCACTAGAGCCACAGCTCCACTTCTGGTTTTTCTTTTTGGTAGTTAATGAGAGATAAGAATTTCATGAACTTTCCTGCCTGGGCTGCTTCAAACTTTGATCCCCAGATCTCAGCCTCCTGAGTATTTAGGATTACAGGTGAGAGCTGCCAGTGCCCAGCTTCAAACACTGGTTTTAATATCAGAGAAATGCCTGCCTTGGATCTTTCCTCAAAAAGCTTCCCCAGGGAAGATTTTGGTACGTAAATTGCAGCACAGAAGTGGGAAGTTGTGGCTACAGAGGTGGAGGCAAGCTAGCAGGAGGTGGCTGACTCTCGTCCATGGGTGTCTAGGACTGCCTCCCGCGTCCTGGGACGTGGGCTCAGAACTGGCTAACATGTGTGCTCCCTTTGGCAGGTGGCCCTTCCCCGGGCGGCGGTGCCCCATGGCACCTTCGGACTGTCCTCAGTGACTCAGTGGAGAGCTCGGATGATGAATTCTTTGATGCTAGAGGTAAGTCAACTCCATCCTCGTACTATGGCTGAGTGATCGTTCTAGAAGCTCCAGCAGAGAACCCCTGCTGTGGGTTAGTGCCCCTTCCCACCCAGACATGCAGTTCCACACTCCCTATTTGCCTGATTGTGAGTCCTGACAGCGGTGGCTCAGTGTCCATTCACTCTGACACATTTGCGAACCCCTGAGATGCATCAGGTAGGGGACACTGCTGTGTCCAAGACAGTGTAGAGTCCAGCAGCAGAAACAAGCGCCACACTGGGGAATGATACCACCAAGGAAAAAGAAGTAGCTGCTGTTTAGAGAGAATGAGGCCAGGGCAGGTAATTTGGCATGGATCATGTATCCTTTCTGTAGACCTGAGGACCAGGAGCTGGCTAGGTAAGCCTTCAGATGGACAAGACAGCAGAAATGATGGTCCCAGACCAGGAAAGACTGGGGAGCATTTCAGTTCTTCTGAATGAAGGCCTATGTGCCTTCAATGATGATGAGCTGAGGAGAAGAAAGCCAGAGATGAGGCCATAGGCTGTGATGATGCCTGTTGTTCACTTGGGCCTACTGCATCCCAGTGGTGATATTCAGAGATGTGATGGGTGGCAGGTGGGACATCTGCTCTGCATCAAGGCATCACCAGTGGATTAGACACAGCAAGGGGCATAGCTTAAGTTGAATGGAAGGATTGGCAATGCCTGGGGATGTGGAGGAAAGGGACCGAATATGGAATTGTGTGTGTGTGTGTGTGTGTGTGTGTGTGTATGCGTGTGCATGCATGCATGCTGTTACTGGGGCTTGAACTTAAGTCCTGGGAGCTATTCTTTAATTTTATCTGCTCAAGGCTGCTGCAGTACCACACCTTTACTTCCAACATTTTTTGCTGGTTACTTGGAGATGAGTCTCCCAGACTTTTCTGCCTAGGCTGGCTTCAAACCACAATCCTCAGATCTCAGCCTCCTGAGTAGTTAGAATTACAGGCATAAGCCACTAGCCCTCAGCACAAATGGGGTCTTGAAGACAGGTGACATGCCAGGAAAGTACCTAGGCCCGAAGAAGGACGCTTGTGCCCTCAGGTCAGGCAGATCTTTCCCCCTTCCCTGAGACTCAGTTTCTCTCTCAGTTCTGTGTTTCTCCAAATGGAGAATACCCAGGTTGGGTGATTTTCAATGACATGAGGCTAGAAGTGGGGCACTGTTCCTACCCAAGTCTCCCTCAGCTCCTTGCTCTGGGCAAGGAAGTCAGCCCCAAACCAGACCATCTGGGGCCCAGTTCCTTTCTCCCCTTGGTATCTGATTGGAGTGGCTGCCTGAGTTTCTCCATAGCAACTAGCCCACAGTGTGACAACAATGCTTCAATATTTTGATGCTCAGAAGACTTTTATTTAAATATTTCTGCAGTTCCTCAGGGTTCTGCACTCCCAGCTGAGCTAATGGCTTGCTGCAGGAGGCGGGCATCTGTGGTGGCACGTGGGTCAGCATTGTCCCTTAGGACCTGCTATCTTCTGTCTCTGCGAGCAGCTGCAGATCTTCCCCACCTGCCTGCCCACTAGCCTGCAGTGTCCCTCAGCCGGCTCTGTCCCTCCCTCCCCTCTTCCCCACCCTGGACTCAAGGAGCTGAGCCTCCTCCTCTGTCCTCTTTTCTGGATGGCTCTCTCCTCCTTCCCTTTGTCTTATTACCTCCTTCCCAACACTCCTGTCTCCTTCTGGGATGTGGCCTTAAACCCAGCCCAGGTTAGAACTGGTAGTTCTCCTCGTGTCTTTGAATCCAGCACCTCTGTCTCTGTTTACAATGTGGGAAATTGAGCGACAGAGCAGGGGGTCACACTCTTGTTTCATTCATTCCCTCTTTGAGCTAGTCATTACTGAGCACCTGGCCCTCCAATGCGGAGGTTTAGAAACAGAGGAAACCCGTCCCAGCCCTCTTGGAATTATCTGCTTAGTAAGCTGGTGGAGGTGGGTGGCGAGACACAAACAAATAAATTATGCTGAGAATTACTGTGATTAAAATAACACAGAGGAACAGGTACTTCACCACACAGGAATGGCAAGCAAACACTTGGAAAGTTGGTCCATACCATTTGCCATTAGGGAATGCAAATCAACATGGCAAGATGCTGTACCATGCCCACGAGAATGGCTTGTTCTAATGGGTGGCCAGGGTGGAAGAATTGGAACTCAAAGCCTGTGCTAGTGGGAAAAATGTACAATGGTGGGATGTTTCAGAAAATGGATTTCAACTCCTTAAAAAAAAACTAAGCATCTTAATTATCCTTATATATACTTGTATACTTATATATACCTTCTGCCCCTTAATATATTTTTAAAATTTTGTGTAGGTACTAGGAATTGAACTCAGGACCTTGCACTCTCACTTGGCTTTTTTCTTTCTGCTCAAGAGTGCATTCTACCACCTAAATCACACCTTCCCTTCTGGTGTTTTGCTGGTTAATTAGAGATAAGAGTGTCTGTGATTTGTCTGCCCAGGCTGGCTTTGAACTGAGACTTTAGATCTCAGCCTCTTAAGTAGGTAGGATTACAGGCATGAGCCACCTAGCTGGCCCCTAGACCTTTTTTTTCTTTTCTTTTGTTGGTCATAGGGCTTGAACTCAGGGCCTAGGTGCTGTCTCTGAGCTCTTTCCCTCAAGGCGAGCACTCTACCACTTTGAGCCACAGCTCCACTCCCAGTTTACTGATGGTTAATTGGAGATAAGAGCCTCATAGACTTTCCTGCCTAGGCTGGTTTTGAACTGTAATCCTCAGATCTCAGCTTCCTGAGTAGCTAGAATTATAGGTGTGAGCCACCAGTGCCTGGTTTGACCCCTTGATCTTTACCCCAGATGTCTACCTACTGACTTGTCCATCACTATTCTTAGCAGCTTAATTTCTCCTAGCCCCAAACAACCCAAATGTGCATCTGTGAGTGAGCCCTAAGCAAACTGTTGTACAGGAGGAAGTAACTGACTGATGGATGCAGTGGGACAGGCTCCAATCACACCAAGAGAGAGGACCAAAACAGAGCATACACTATATGGTTCCGTTGACAAAAAGCTCTAGAAAATGCCAACTAACCTACAGTATTTGGAGCAGACTAATAGTCTGGGTGAGGGGAAGTAGAAGGAGGGGGTGTTCCCGCCACATCCTGCCATGAAGGCAGGAGGCGTCTGATGGGAGTGACGAGTTCATGATCACTGTCTTGATTGGGTGATGGTTCCCCCGCATTTATGTCAATCAAAAATCATCAGGTTGTGCACTCAGTGTATAGTTTATTGGCTGTTGATTATACCTTAGAAATGCCACTCAGCAATGAAGTCTCTCCCTCCTAGAGAGTAAGGGAATTCCCAATTCCCAGAGGTGGTGGCGGCCCTGAGCTGAGAGCCAAATGGGAAGTGAGCCACCTGATGATACAGAGAAGGCTGGGCCGGGCCCAGGAACTGCACTAGGAAGCCAGTAGACTCCAGAAGTGCTTTTCTGGTCAGGTTCAGGTGGACTGGAGCCTGATCCCCATCCCAGAGGAAGCCAGAGACTTGGAGTTTAGAATCTGAACAAGATGGACCATGAGAGACTTAGCCAGGATCAATCAATGGGTGTGTGTGTGTGTGATGAAGACTGTTCAGTGACAGCTAGCCTGGTTAGAAGCCAAGGGTAAGAAGGGTGAATGGGACAAGGATGGAAGCATGACTTGTGAAGATAGCCCAGACTTCATAGATTTGGGCAATAAAATGCCATCATGCCTGAGAGAAAGTGGAAGAGCTCTTGGGAGTTTCCATCTCTGAAAGAAACAAGGCTAGAGTGGTCTCCCAACAGCAGGTGAGTTTATCAGGGTGGGGTTAGGTGTGTCAGACATGGGTCTATCTCTATGGCTTCGTGTATGTTTTCCTGTAGAAAAGGCCAGGTGCACCTAGACCTGTGTGTGTGTGTGTGTGTGTGTGCACACATGTGCTCATGCACCAGTACTAGGGCTTGAACTTCGGGCCTGAGTGTCATTCCTTAGCTTTGTCTCTCAAGGCTGGTGCTCTACTCCTTGAGCCACAGCCTCACTTCTGGGTTTTTGGTAGTTCATTGGAGATAAGACTCTCATGGACTTCCCTGCTCAGGCTGGCTTTGAACCAGGATCCTCAGATCTCAGTCTCCTGAGTAGCTAGGATTACAGGCGTGAGCCACCAGCTCCTGGTGCACCTGTCCCCTTAGCCTTCTATTTAGATAGAAACAATACTCAAATTAGAGCCTTAAAGTCACCATACTTCTAGGTATACATGAACCCTCACCACGAGATTCACAGATAGAAGATGGTTTCAGTGGCAGTATCTTGAACCAGCAGGTGGGAGAGGTGTATTCTTGGACAGCCACACCCAAGGTTCTGTTTGATCCTGGGCCATTGGACGACTGTACATCTACAAAATGAGGATGCCAGGCTTCACTTTGAAGCCTCTTTGAAGCACAGCATCCTGACCCATCCTCTTACTTTGATTTTCCCTGGTTTTCCTCCCCAGAATCTACAGAGCAACTCTTTCCTTCACGAATGGGAGGAGCAGACCCGGCTTGACTTTTGCAGGGAGGAAAATGCTGGCAGGGCTAGAGGTACAGGATGGGTGTATTTGGCTTTGGGTATTTTGACCAACAGCCATAGTGTGGTGTATCTTCTCTAATCCAGTCTCTGGAAAGGAATTCTCTCAGCCAAGAACTTTCTGCTATTTGCTCTGTTTGTGTGTGTGTGTGTGAACTCAGGGTCTGAGTGCTGTCCCTTAGCTTTTTCCCTCAAAGCAGAACCTGTATCACTTGAACCACAGCTCCAATTCAGGCCTCCATTGACTTTTCTGCCTGGGCTGGCTTTGAACATTGATCCTTAGATCTCAGCCTCCTGAATAGCTAGGATTACAAGCGTGAGCCACTGGCACCCGACAGGCCTCTGTTCTTCGTCTCATCATCACATGCAGCCTCATTCTCTTGTGTAGCTGGGCCCTCCCCTACCATGTTGAGCTGGAGGAGCCCGTTGCTGGGTTCACTGTTTGTGGCTCCAACTCCTCGATTTGCCATAGCAACCAGGAGAGGAAGGTGAGGCTGGGGTCAAGAATCCCACTCTCTAATTGAGGACTGAAGCGAGGTCTCATGGAGAATGAGGGGCACGATCAAGGTCTTCCCTCCCAGACTGGGCTTTTGTGGTGCTTACACACCATGTCCTGGGGGTCCTGGATGGGAAGGAGGGGAGTAGAAGTGAAATTAGAGGACCCAGGTCTTCATCAAGGTTGACATTGAGCGGCTGCTATGTGAGCTCAGACGAGCCTGAGTCTCTGGCCTCAGAGGCCTCCTCTAGGAATGGGCAGGGATACGGTTGTCTGCCTTGTGGGTGGTGAGGGAGGAAGTCACTGCTGGAATCAGGATGAGTATTGCTGAGCAGAGGAACCATCGCAGAAGCCACCTGCAGGTGTGTCATGGACTTCCTGCTTTCTGACTTCCTTCCCCCCCCACTGGAAAGAAAGGTAAAGTAGACAATGCCGGGGAGGCAGGTCCAAAGCCTTGGGATGGGCAGAGTGGAAACCGAGGAAGAGAGTGAGATGAGGCTGTAGGTGGGTTGAGGTGTGTGTCTATGCCAGATGAGTGTGAGCCATCTTGCATCTAGAG